TGGCCTTGAGCTCACTTTATAGCCTAGACTGGTCTTGAATTAACAGCGATCCCCCTGCCTCAGCCTCCCAAGTGTTGGAATTACAGGTGTGCACCACTGCCCTAGCCTGAGTCGGGTCTTGAAGGATGAATTGAATTTCATATTCCATGGAGAAAAGATAAAAACAAAACTCTGAGCTGAGGGAGGAACATGTAGAAAATGTGCAGGGGCAAAAAAAATGTCTTTTAAGCAGCTTGAGCTCACAGACTTTGTCAGCTTACAGGGCAAGTCTGATTATCTGTCAGAATGCCAGTGACAAGCCATGGGCATAATACAAAGGAGCAGCTAGTCCAAAATCGGCTTGCTGTGAGCAGGATTTTTCTTTGGGATGCAGACCTAATACCTCTGCTCATAGAAACTTCACTGATTCCTCCCTGCCCAGTCTGCTAGGGCTCTGGACAGTGCCTGTCCTCATGGCAGGGTCATCCCACAGGCATGGGCTCATTTCACTGCCCTCTGCCTGGTCTGGGGTCAGCCCCTTGCCAGGTAGTCTCTCTAACATCAAACTGCCAGATTCAGAGCAGATCAGCTACTCACTGCCGTCCATGGCTTTGAGCAAGTTATTTACCTCTTCTGTAGCTTTGTTCCTCTGCTGCAAAAGCAGAACAATAGTATGAAAGTGACAGTCATAGATGGAAGCTGGCCTCTAAAGCATTGAGCAGGATGCCTACCGGTGAGCACTCAATAAGCAGCGCTTATGCCTCTGACAAGGACTCCCTGCTTCTCCAGCTGTGTATCGGAATACATGCGCTCCTTAACACTTCACTTTCTTTTAAAAGCTCTTTATTCTTTCTGCCCCTGATCATCCACTCCTTCCTAGTTAGCCATTTTCTGTAGAGAGTTTTTAACTGGCTTTTTGCTGCTGTTTCTCAGTCTTGGTGAAGCACTGCTTTCCTCACTGTGGTCCAGATCTTAGGCTCCCAGATCCTTGGGGGCACTGGGAGGCGGTTAAGGATTCCCAAATTTACCTCAGGATGCTGATGTAGAGTGATATAATTAAGAGTACTGGCTCTGGAATTAAATAAACCTGCTATTTACCAGTCACCTTAAGCCTATGCAAGTCCCATTATCCTGCAGAACCTTGTTGCCTACTAGGTAGCCTGGGCCTGTTCATACTTCCATCCCAGAAGTGTTACATCTTAGGTCATTGTACTTAAAGGCTTTAGCACAGAGCCTGGTATATAAGAAATAGTTTCATGAGTCCCTGCCTCCATTATTACTATTATTGCAAAGTATTTTTTTTAAAGCTTTTTAAAAATAGCTCAGTGGATTAAAGTGCCTGCTTAGACGCAGGGGCCAGGGCTCGTTTCCCCAGCCTGCTGTGCTGGCCCCACCCCCCGGGGCGCCCTGAAACATCGATTGAGACTGGGCATGGTAGCGCACCTGTAATCCCAGCGCTTGGGAGGCTGAAAAACAGGAAGGGTCACTACAAGTCCAATCTATGTAGTGAGACCCTGGACTAAATACATTTAAAAAAAAAAAAATGGTTTGCTTTGGTTTGGTTTTTTGCTGTGCCAGGGATTGAACTTGGGACCTCGTGCTTGCCAGGCAAGCAGTTATGGCACTGAGCTATATCCCTAGCCCCATTGCAAAGTATTTTTGAAAATCACAATTTTCTCCAGAGATCAAGCCTTAGGTATAATTAAAAGGTGGAAGTTCTGTAGGACACAGGTACATTGCCTCAGCCTGGTGTGGTGCTCTGGCCTTGCGCTAAGAACCTCTGGTAGGCAGTTAGTTACATATGGCTTTGCTAAGAGTTATGACAATAAAAACATTTGGGCAGAGAAAAGAATTACAAAGCTGAAGTCTTAAGAGGGTGAAAAAAGAAAAAAGGTCCCTTGGTTACTGAAGAGTCTTGGGACCCAGTGGCCTAATACACTGTCAGTGTTGTCTGGTTGGCAGCTCCCCTTTCCTAAAGTTTTTTTTTGGGGGGAGTGGGGGTTGTTTGTTTGTTTGTTGTACAAGAGCACAAATGTACTTTTATTTTCCATTAGTTTAAATTCTTTTTATTTTAGGGAAGGGTCAACAGGGTGTTCATGGTCTCACTATTAGATTGGACTCCCAGTGTTCTGCTTGTTTACAGCCTCCCAAGAACTGGGATTACAGGCGTGCACCACCACACCCAGTCTCAATTGCCATCTCAGGGCTCCCCAGGAGCGGGCCGGCAAAGCAGGCCTGGGGATCAAACCCCGGCCCTTGCACCTGCTTGCAGGCACTTTAATCAGCTAAGCTATTTGGCTGGCCCTAAATTCTTGAGGGGTACAGCATCACATGGATTCGGCATCTGATGGCCTTAGCAGGAAGGTTGCTTCGGAACTTGGCATGAGCCACACCGCTGTTTCCATGGGCCCGAGTTACTTTTCCCCAGATCACTCTGATTTTGTTTGGCTTGCCACCTGGAGTCACTGTGTTGTTTTTCGCTTTGTACACATAAGCACAGCTCTTGCCCAAGTAGAATTCTATTTCGCCCCAAGCATAAGCACCTTCAATTTTAAGAAGAGTTGTGTGTTCCCTCTGGTTCCCTCTGGTTCCAGAGTCCCTGCTTATAGCCAACAAGAATGTCCTTGCACCACAGTCTTCCAGACATACTGGCCTTTTCAAAGCCCTATTCCCATCAGGCCTCCCAAGACTCCAAGATGGCAGAAAAAGTTGTTTTGTTTTTAAATAAAAGTAACATATAAAGGAGCAGCCAAATAGCTCAGTGGACTAAAGCGCCTGCATGCAGGTACAGGGGCCAGGGGTTTGATTCCCCCAGCCTGCCATGCCAGCCTCACCCTGGGGCATGCTGAGACAGCAATTGAGACTGGGTGTGGTGGCATGCACCTGTAATCCCAGCTCTTGGGAGGCTGTAAACAGGCTGATCACTATGAGTCCCATCTAGTAGTGAGACCCTGAACACCCTGTAGACCTGTCCCTAAAATACAAAAAAAAAACATAACACATAGACATGGTCACTAGGCTTCCCTCAAAAAGCCTCTGGCATGCCAAGTTTGGTGGTGAATACCTAAAATCCCAGCATGTGTAAGGCTGAGGCAGGATTGCTCTTGAGTTCGAGGCCAGCCTGGGCTTCAAAGTGAGTTCAAAACCAGCCTAAATTACATAGCAAGATCCTGTCTCGAAGAGACACACACAAAAAAGCCTTTCTCTCCACTGCCCCTCTCTGTTAGAGAAAGGGCTGCCTTTAAGCCTCAGGACCCACCCACCCATAAACCGGTGGAGAGCAAGTAGATACCTGAGGCTCCCAGACGTGCATCTTGAGAACTATTTGGGGTATCCTCATGTGGAGATACTGGTGGATCAGGAGAGCTGAAGCCTTAGAATCTATATTATTAGGGCCGAGGAGATATACCTCAGCTGTATAATGGCTGGCGAGCGCAAGGTCCCGAGTTTGATTCCCAGTATCTCAAAAAAATAAATCTGTATTACTATTATTTTTTTTTAGGATCTATATTATTCACAGAATCATCACATGATTCTTAGCGCCAAGCAAGTTTGGGGGACCCAGGGCTGGTCCAGGCCAGCAAAGGCTTTCACTAATAGTTCTCTGTCCCAGACTGGGCACTGGGGACAGGGAAGCAATTGGGTTGATGCACATGCAGTGGAGAGTCAGCCTGTGCCCCATTACTCCTTACAGTCCCTCCCTTTTCCAGCAGAACCTAATTCCTGGCCACACATGGCAGCTCAGACACATTGCCTGACCTACTTTGGGAAATGATTGGCGCCGAAGACGCCCAGTGTAGCCTGGCTGACATTAACGTCTCTCTTTGGCTTTGTGCTCAGACTAAAGAACCTGGAGCTTGCAGCCATGGGAGGATCAGACGTCCGCGTGAGGATGCTGGCGGCCCCTATCAATCCATCTGACATAAATATGATCCAAGGTAACCTTGGTTTCTGGGGCTTATGTTAATTGGCTTTCTCGCTCAGCTGCCACCTCCATTGCCTTCCTCAGGTATGGATGTGAAATCCCTGTGATTAGCACAGCGCTTCTCCAGAGGAGCAGTCCACAGACTGCATCAGCCCTCCCTAACCTCCCTTGCCTGAACATGAGGCTTTGAGAGCCAGGAAGGTTGCAGTGGGACACAGAGCAACCACTGTGAAGGGCCGGCTACATGCTTGGCTCCTTTCTTACGTTACTTGATCGTTGATGACCATGAACACTAAAGGGTCCCCACTCTGGATGGACAAGGAAGCTGAGGCTCAGGTGTTAGGTGGATGCTTGGCCAGAGGCAGAGCCCCACTCAAGCTCCAGTCTGACTCCAGAGTCTGTACTTTGAGCAAGGCATGGTGGCACATGCCTATGATCCTGTACTCAGAGGCTGAGGCAGGAGGATCACAGGTTGAAAGGCAGCCTGGACTACATAGTAAGACTGTGATTCAAAACACAAAAAATGAGGCAAAGTCCATGCTCTCGCCCTGCCCACATTTCATGGTACGACCCTTTGCTTTCTCCTCCCTTAGGGAACTACGGCCTCCTTCCCAAGCTGCCTGCTGTTGGAGGAAATGAAGGCGTTGGACAGGTGGTCGCAGTGGGCCCCAGTGTGACTGGGCTAAAGCCAGGAGCCTGGGTGATTCCGGCCAATGCTGGTTTGGGTGAGTTTTCCCTGGTGGTGGCGGCCCTTTTCTTCTCCCAGATCATATTCTGCAAAGCAACCCCACCCCAGAGGCTTTGCTCATTGGTTAGTGCGTGCGGTCCTGTTAAGTTCCTGCATTGCTTCTGTGACAGCAGAGCAGAATGCTGCTCCTTTTACTCTGGAGCCAGTACACCTGCTCCTATCTGCCCGGGCCCATGCTGATGGGAGCTGTAATTCTCTGAATCCCTACATCCCTAAGTCCCTGCTGGAAGGTGCAGTGGAGAATACAGATAAGATAATCCCTGTCTTCCAGAGGCTCAGATCTAATTGAAAACATTTCTAAACCAGTAACTTCAGTAAAGGAAGTAAGTGTTCTGAGTTCATGAGAAGCAGGGGGCACTTCTGGCTCCCTTGCACACATGCACGTGTGTGTGAGTGTGAGTTTGTCTTAGGGAAGAATCGCCAATAGGCTTTGTGGATGAGACTTCATTAGAACAGATTTTTGAGGGGCAGGCTTTGCTAGGTGGAAACAAGCTAATAATCATGTCTTGTGAAAGAAGTAAAATAAGCAATGACACAGGGTGAGTTTGGGAGATGGTGGCAAACCCAGGGCAGCCTCAGCAGAGGCTCTGCATGTGACAGAGGGCGCATGAGTGAGAAAGACGGCTGAGGAGTACAGTGAGGGCTACATCAGCTGAGGCCCTGCCAACACCACGCTAAGCCGTAGGATCTTCTTCCTGTATAAAAAGGAGTCATTAGTGTGTTTTGCTTTTCAGCACTTAGACAGTTTTGTTTTGTTGTCAGCACATACTTAGTTTTGTTTTTGCAGTGCGGAGGATTGAACTCGGGACCTTTGCCTTGAGCTGTATCCTCAGCTCTTTCTTTAGTTCTTATTTTGAGACAGGATCTAGCTACATTGCCTAGTTACCCTTATGGGGCTCAAACTTGCAATCCTTCTGCCTCAGCCATCCTGGAATCACAGGAATGTGCCATTGACTGGTTTTTATACCAATAGGACTTCACATCTGAGTATGGTGTGCACACCTGCAATCCTCGCTCTCTTGGAGGCAGGATGATCCAAGTCCCACCTGAAGAACTTAGCAAGAAACTGTCTCAATGGGGCTGGTGAGATGGCTCAGTGGTCTAAAGCACCTACTTAGAACAAGCTTAGCAAAGCACAGGGACCGTGGTTCAAT